GTCTAGAATAAGTTGCTCCGGAGGAACATACAGAACTGAAGAAGACAGGATCATCAAAATGTGTGTACTGCGTAAAGTTTTGACCACTGCTTCCGACAACTGCCCTCATGAGCTTCATAGAAAAGCTAAAATAGGGACGGTGACATGTGCGTGAATTAATACATTATAATAGATTTGCACCACGTCTACCGTCTTCTTTCTCCCATCTCTTTCCTAGGACGGATCTCCTGACTGAACTAAAAATACCGATGGCAGGATCGGATGCAAGTGGCTGAAACGGCGTGGGCATGGCCCTAAACGTACTACCAACCCCCTCCCACATGGAACATGTACTATGGGTGTGCATCCCCAATAAAGCGTGCGAAACACTGATCTAGACCCCATGTTGTTCTATTACATCTACTATGTGGATCGTTTTGAAGCACACTTATTATGCATTTTCATATGCAATTTAATTTAGTCTGACGACGAACAAGTGATACCTGTTCGAAATGTCAGGCGCACAACTCAATTTTCCGAAGATCTTCTTCCTTTTTATGTTTTCATCTCGCAATGCAACTAACTTCACTTATCCAATTATGCAAAGTTTCTACTGAAGAGCTAAGTATGCGTGGGGCGTTAACATGCGCACATTTTCTATACCATATTAAAGAAATAATTTCGTGATCAATAAAACAGAATGTGTAAATCGGAACTTACATCCGGTGTTTGTTCTTCAGGCATCGAATCCCTTTCAACGGTCTGAAGAAAGTGAGAAATTGGAATTCTAATGTGTGTTTTTCAGAATTGCTGATAACAATGAAGCCTTAATGACCTAAGTATCTAGCGCTAGTATAATAAGACGTGAACCTCTACAAAAAATTGAGAATTCCGAAACTAAAAACATAAAACCAACATGTGCACATGATATGTTGGCCGATATTCTGAAGTGCGCTTTCGGTTAATATTAATTCACTACGTTTGATAGCTAAACACCTCTTCTTCGAACTTTGTACCTAAACGAACGCGTCTTTTGTATTTTATAATGTTTCGAATAAGGAAATCTTTTGCAGTGGTGACAGTTTCATTCACAACCCATCGTATCCGGTAATGTTGCGTATAAAGTTTAAAAATGCTCCAAATCCTTTGCAAACAATCATGTGAACTTTGCGGCCCCACTCCACACATTGTCCTGAAACATCTGCATTTCCTTAGATATAATCTGTACAGCATGTAGTTTGAAAATATATAATTCTAGTTTTTGGTCATTGGAATTCAGAAGTATTCGGCAATTCAGATACTTCTTTAAAATCGAAAGATACACTTTTTCTAGCATAACATTCTAATACGGTGTTATTTGCTACCAACGACTCCAAGAATGTATATTTGTTTGCACGTTTTCTATATAATATATTTGAACTTATGAGCACGGTTAAAATAAATAAGACAAATGCATCGCAGTTAAGAAATCAATTTTAATACGGAAATACTTTTCACGCGATCAGAAATTATCTCCTTCAAAGTCCGTCATCCTGACTTGAATTACATATCTTGCGATTTGGCTGCCCGACCTTCTATCTTAAAACTGTATTTAAGTAATTGGTTCTAATAAAAAATAATTTCGGAATTTTGATGGGCATTTAATTTGAAAAGGAGAAATGTGTAAATCCTGAGTAACGCCATAATACTAGACAGTTCTAGTTTATGGTACATGGCGTATATACACATTGCGTCCATTTCCAGAAGTTTTGTCCACAAAGCACGTCAGCTGTCTCACGTTTAGAAAAAGAAATTGTTCATATAGCTATTTTAACTCACAAATAACCAAAAGTTATCGTCTTGCATTTCAGCTATATCCGTGAACGTCAACTGCTCATTGTGAAAACTATTTCAGTTGTGGAATAGTTTATAACATTAAATATTGCACGGTGATACGCTTTCGCCCTAATAATGCCAATAAAGAAAATATAAACTGCATTGTTAATAACATCCTAAACTACAATATACTTGCGAAACAGACTGTAAGAAATTAGTATCACTAACACAAACAGGAAGAAAAATTTTCAGACTGCAATGCGATTTGGCACCTTATTTTCTGAATGCTTGCGAAAGGCCCTTTGAAAGGAGAGCTAATATGTTGCCTTTTGCTATACGAAATGATTACGCAGGCTTTATTACAGCAATTGACGAAAAACTCTTTAAACAACCAAGATGAATTCTTAGTAGGCCTACAAATTGTGTTATTCTGAAAAAAAGCGTATATGACCCTTTAGATAAGTTTGTGCTGCCGTCGCTGAGGGTGAAAACTAGCACAGGAATGGGCCATACGTTGTTTGAATATTTAAAAAAAAACTCACCACATTTGTTGAGTCGCCTGAATCCGCAACGCTTATTCTTGATACCAAACTTTCTGTTGGAGATGTGGCCTGGAGGCAAAAGGAACTGCATAGATGTGCTTAAAAAGGATGTCAAATAGCATTATTATGACACTTTATTATGTTTGCAGCCATGTGTGTGAATGCCGACAACTGCTGCGTGAGAAGAATTTAGAAAACACACAATCTCGATAGTCCATACTACTAACCGTGTAAAGTAAATTAAACTGACCGACATAAAAGTTGAGTAGGCTGACTACTTTGCTCTTACTTAACCTCATAATGATCTTCACAGGGGAAAAACCTCGGAAGCATTAACGTGAAAACGGAATTAGAAATGGCATGAAAGTCAGCAGTTTTTCAGCGCTTGGTCCGGTTCCTATGTTCCTAGAAGGGTTCTATGATAGTTATCCATAAAGGGTAAAATTAAGCTTAAGGGCGCTTTATAGGCATGTTGAGATGCACTGAGGTGAACTGGAGGACAACATTGCCGAAGTGCAATATCGTTGACGGATGCTACGAGAAAATGGCCACTCGCACACCTTCGTCAACTGGTGGTTGCGCAAACGAGATGAGCGAAAAAATGCTAGTGTCTCTGATGATGGATCTGCGAGGAAATCTGAAACCTCAAGCGAAAAATTTTGTTGACTCAGCAGTCGTATCTACTACTTCTCAGCTACTAACTGATACACGCGTTTTAGCTTGTCGATGGAACACATTCCCACCATACGTGTGTCGCATAAACGTGTCGATATTTGGAGCCATACCCTTCGAACCGCCTGAAAAATCACACTGGTTTAAATAATATTATGCAGTAGTTTTTATCCGTTCAATAGTTTCAATGCTTCCATATACGCAAATATACGTTTCAAATAACCATTGTGTGTTCGAATAAAAATGTACATTCGTGTTTTAAAGAAATTAAAACATACGAACGTCCATTCAAAGATCATTGCATCCTTTCACTTATCAATGTTCCTGATTAATAACCCAGTACGGTCTATATCTATTTAACACTATTTTTTCACATATGACATTTTCTTATGACGACAAAGGGATGCACAACCCACCTGTCTCCCAAACTATTCACAGTAGGTACATAGAAATGCAACGCTGCGCGCAACCACTAAGCGATCCTTCGAACAGAAAAACTCCCTGCATTCACATGATCAGTAATAATATTAACATGTTAAGCAGCAATTAAAATTTAGATTCCCTGGAAGACAGCCCATAGATGTTAAGTAACTCGTTGCATGTATAATTTCAAACGAAGGCCTTTCCAGTCAACATGGTGCTAAAGTCTTATGTGCCAAACAATAGTCACTATCTAGGTCATATTTCTGCGCCAACTTGTAAGCCTCCTTTTGACCTTCTCTGTTCAACGACAGCACCGATAGTGATGGGAACCTATTATGCCCATTCTTTGATGGATCATTCCGTATCCTATTCCGTAGCACTGAACCCTCCCCCCACCACTAACCGTGGCGATTGTAGGGAGACGATTGCTATCAAGCACTTGAAGGTGGCCCGTACCAATCGCCCTTTGCCATCCCAAACAAGCCAACATAAAGCGCCTACAGCATGACCTCTGCGATTCCTCCTCTTTTGTTAACATCCTACTAGTATGTGCATCATTAAGACCCAGAAGTCGCGCTCACTACAAGCCTTGGACACTGTAATTTCCAACGGAGGCTAACAATTTCTGCTTTTTGTTGGGAACCTTCTGCCCATCTCTATTTTAGATTTGCAAATGCACTTCTTCTGAGAGGGCAAGTGATTCAGTGATTTATGTTTGGACTGCAAATTTAATCTAACCGCGAAAATAGAGCAGAGTGATCCCCTGAAATACGTAATAAGTTTGAGTACTCGTTTTATCGGCAGGACATGCACCAATTAACGGAATCTGCGGAGGGCATTAACAAAACCCGGATTTCCCCCTATATGTTCTACTAAGCCCATGAGACACGAAAGCGACTGCGCCCTTTGAAAAATGCAAATTAAGGAGTGGAAGAAACTGATAATCTAAGGCGATAAATAAAGAAAAGTCAGATTGGATAAAAGGTTGTGTGACAAGTAAACTAAAAGCCTACTCTAAGATAACAAATGCGAAAGTTAGTGGCCAACTGCTGGCAGGATTTAAGACTTCACCAAGTGGGTGGGCTACGCCGTTTAAAAAACGACGGGCACCTTTAGGCATGGCATGCGTTGTTTGAACGGCGCTTATTATTGTCATAAATGCACATAACACACAGCGGGTAATTCGGTTTACAATACTTCTGCCGGTTTCATATTCAATGTGGAAGCTGAATAGTGGAAAGACTCCATGGCAATCATCTCAGATAGTCTAGGAATCAGTGTCACGATGGACTCCCATCAGGGAAAAGACGCACAAAGAAGCAAAACGCAATTCCTTGACAATGAGCTCGCAGGAGAATTCTAAACGTCGGACAAATACACTCCTGGTCCCAATGAACGTCTTAACTTATTATATTCAGTTACCTGGGCCTCGCATCATCTCGACCATTCAGCAATAAGACTTAAAAACGTATCCTTAATAAAGACATACCACAACTGCCCGAGATATTGCACGATTCGTGTTCGTATATTCCGTTGCCTGTGGGATCTGTTAATCAATGTAAAAACAAATTAATGGGCTCGGTCGGTGCATTTTGGAAAATATTTGCAACAATCACTCACCGAATAGCCCATGTCGGAATCATCAACAACAAAGTTCAAGGTAGTAATATCCTGAAAAAAATTATATGTGGATAAGGTGAATAAAATTTGTCATATGCACTGTGCAAGCACCACTTATTTGCAAAAGCTGTCTGCAGAACGAGGTCAAATGTGCAAAGTAGGCATCTACCATGCAGTTGCGACTGTCAAAAATAAAAGCCTTTTGTACGTAGGCGAGAATCAATATTATGGGAGTAAAAACATATCTAATTTTCAAGTTAATATGTAACGATTACAATTTATGAATACTAACTGGAGAGAGCAAACATCAGCAATGGGTTACTAATATGTGGCTGCACAACCGGACACTCAGCTTGAAGGCCATAAATCCCCGTTCAAATGCTGCAAGCCGTGTGGTTTACTGCAGTCTTACGGGAGGCGCAAACCTAACATGCATTACTTTTTTTTCTGAAGTAGACTTGGGCCGCATACGCCTTTTCCCACGCTCATTCCGTTTCGATGAAAAAGAGCCGAGTCGCGACGGCTGCAGGTAGATACCGGACCACGTAGTGACAGATCAAGACTCAATCTACGTGTGCAAAGTGTGATGTAATTGCATACTTAACATTTTGCAGCTTTCCATGAAGGATTTTCCTAGCTCGAACAAATAATAGGGCCATAAATGTCACATTAAGAATAATTAATCGTAGCTCGATTACCAGTTCATGGTAGGCGGATTCTAATTTTATGTTTGCGTCGTGCCGTGAGAATTATAAATCATGTATTATTGATTAAGAGACGAAGACTCGATATTGCAACCAAACAGCGAAAACAAGGTCGCCTATTTTCTATTCCCGCCGCAGTGATTTGTGTAAGACAAGCTGACTTGTGATGAAAGCGGACGCACTGGCTAACGTTACGCAGGTTTTCCATCTAAGGCGCCAGTACACGCCAATAATCATATGCTTGTGTAGAATCAGCGCATCTCAACTGGCATCTTTTATTAGCCAGTATAATCGTCATTGCTGCAAATTGCATCAGTGATGGCATGCGGGCAAATTAGACATATTATGTGACGGATGTGTAGACGCATATTATTATGAACGCATGTGAAATTTCAAAAATACTGAAAGTTGAAAAGCGTCCTGAAGAGAGATTTTGTTGCTAAACAAGGAGTTGGACAGAGAGGGTACCTGCAGTCCCTTCGGGCATTTCACGCTACCGAAGTATTCATCATCCAACGCCTGGGTTGCATCTATGCGCACACTTTGATTCGGTTGCAAGCATTTGACCATCAGCGGAAAGGCCAGTTGGAAGCCTGAGTACGTGCTCTTTTCTTCACTCAATTTGTTTAGTTTGTCAAGCAGATGACTGTTAGCGTATTCTTCTTTTGTGAGCTCGACTTCTTCCCTGTCGTTAATATCCGTAAGATACAGTCGTTGTAAGATGCTATTGCTGGAAAGCTCAGGCCAGTAATCAGGAGGGGGAAGGCCTACCAAAAAATGAAACGGTTAGGTTATGTATAAAGAGGGGCGCATTAAGCTAAGGGCGAGGAGCTTTATTTAGTAGTCAAGGTTTTAGCCAAAACTGTTCGCTGCGAATTAACAGGAGCGCATAATTCTACCGAGTCTACGTGAATTACTTTAACGTAGTGGTACGCTTACTACTGCAGAGAATGGGCGACACCAGTGTGAGAATGAGGCTTCAGAATCACGATTCAATTAGGAACCAATGACAAATCAAGGGACAAGAATGAACCGTTATTAATTTAGACGATGCAGAACGCATAACAGAGCAGAGTGAAGTTTGAATCACGCATCGACAGGGGCTAAATATGCTGCGCGAATTATCCTCTGTAACGTTCCCTTCACGAATGATTACAAATCTTTAGGACATATTACGGTAAGACAGAGAATCCAGAATGGCCTT